GTGATACTTTTAATTATATAATCCTTCAGGGAAACTCATATCTATAAGTATAAAATTCAAGAGGATATTTGCTCTGCAATTTATGACTATACAAATTGCATACCGTTCGTTAGTCAATTAGATTAAAGTTGAAGATATTTAAATTGATTTAGGCTCAATAACTTTGGATCACGTCAATACTCAATACATAAAACAGCGGAACAAAATATGCAACTATTATTTTCACACTAAATTCATGTCGTAAGTGCATATTTTGATAGCTTCACCATATATATTCCAAACAACACACACTATTCACATGTTAAAATTAATTCACATATGCTTCATGAGTAATTAGATGCATGGACCTAATAATATATGTGGACATTTTTATTTTATAACTTTTCAGGAGTATGACAATTGAAGTATAAGAGATTTCATTTCATAAGATATATAATATTTTTGTTTTTTGTTCATCATTGTAAATAATTCTTACCCATAGGATAATGTCTACTACACATATCATACGTGTGTTATCACTATCAAATCTTAACAAGTAATGTGAAGAATGATATGATGCATATCAAACAAGAGATGCTCATATAAGACAATTAAACCAATGAAACATATAGTCATATAGAAGAGAGACAATCTTCTATCAGATATCTTATATGACAATTAAACTTTTATATATGTGCTTCTGGCATTAATACAATCTCAATAAACTACTGTTATATCACTATTTGTAATATATTGTGTCCATGAATATTGATTTGGTTGGATTTCATTATTCTCATGTATTACTTCAGGAATACAAACTGTTCATAACAGATCATAAAATATTCAATATCATCTTAATTCAAAATTAGTCATCAAGACTTACTCACAGTGTAGTCATTATTTTATGTTGATACTTGTATTGGTGTTGATCCTGCAGGGAGTATACCAAAACTTTATTTTGAATTTATGGGAGATACTTGCGTCGATGATGATCCATCGGGGAGTATATAAAAACATTATCGTTAACTTGTAAAAGATCCTTCAAGGAGTGTATAAGAAATTCG